ATGCTCAATTCCTCATCATATATTGTCAAACATAGAAGGCTAGGTGTGATGGTGAAACATTTGTCTGTTACACATTAGGATTCTTTGTATTCTGACTGACTCAATGGAACTCAATTCATACTGACTATTATGGTTGATATTAAATTATTCCTTTGACCTCAGTCAGGAATATATGACTTCAGAAGCACATCTCCACTTCACTCTGTTCTGTGAAGTCGTTTTCACGTTTCTCTATGATTGTCAATAGACTTTCATCTCCTCCTTATACGATGTCCTCCATATCATCCTCGGATCCACGCCCACCTTGTCATTTCCTATTTAGGTTCCAGTGTGTGTGAGGTCATTCCACAGTCTCCTTAGCGTGTATATCCAGTCTAACTGCATTTCCTTCTGTAGATTTGTTGGGCAATAGGCTTCTGGTCGATTCATTCACACTATTCCTTGTTGCTCATCGTCTGTGAAATAGTGAACGTCTAATTTCTAATGCCTAATATTCCTCTAAGTGTTTGTCACTATTCTGTCGTTGTTTCTTCTTATGAATCCAATGCCCACCATACTTAGAGACTTCGTCAATGCTTCACCAGTAATTTTATTTATGAAAAGAATATTGGTGAGATTCTGACGGTCGACTACCGACGCCGGATCAAAACAGTCAAGTTTAGGAAATTTTACCTATGGAGCTGAAATGTTTCTAAGCTGTACAAAATCTCATCCAGCTGCTTCCTAGTTTATATAACTTCAGTTGTTCTGATATTAGATACTTAAGCGCTAAAACCTGGCAGCGTTCTCAGATACAGGAATACATGACTTCATGACGACTCTTTTAATGATTCATGAGCTCTAGAGACGAAAGTTCTTGAGAATCACTATGCGAAAATGTAAACAGTACACTGTATGTAATGGGAAGTCTTCTACTGTTTTCCTTAATTTAACCGATGTCCTTCAATGTGCTGTTCTTACTCCTTTTTTGTTTTCTTCCTGTTCATATGACTTGCCTCATTCTGATGAAGTCAGTTTTGTTAGGAATGCTAACAACATGACTGTTTTCATGCTGGTTCTTCCTCAATCACATTGTACCAAAATGAGAAGCTTTTTATTAGAAATCAGTTAGTGATCCTTGTCAGATGGTCTTGAGCTTAATCGTTCCAAATTTCAGATTATCAATTTCACTTTCAGGCACAAGAACGATTTAAATAAGCCGGTTGATTCCCATGATTCTCATATCATAGATGACAATGAATTTGGAACTAAATTGAATAATAAACACATTGGATTATTGATATCTTTCCTGGTCTTTCCACATCATGTCAACGTCTTGAAAGATATTTCGTCTTACCTTCTAAGTGAGGAAGTTAATACATTCTGGTATCATTCAGTTGCTTCTTTATCAGTTTGTTAATCCTTGTAATATACCTGTTCTTCTTTACTGCTCTCGTCCGGTCTTGGCTGGACTACTTAAGAAAAACTTTATGACACTGAGAATGGCACTAGAAACTGTCAGTAGAGCAATTGGGATGTCGTCACATTATCTTGTAGATAGAAACGTGAACTCCTGCAAGAAAGTAGCCATTAGCATCTTGTTGGACTCTGCGTATACTGTTTATACTATCGCATAGTATCTCATTGGGGAAGGGATTTTGGAAGTAGTTGTAGAAGGCTTTGTGTTCAAATTGTGCGTCGGTGGCACAATGGTAGAATACTCGCCAACCATGCAGGTGGTTCAGCGTTCGATCGTCAGCCAACGACGCACCACTTTACTTCGCGAAGACGGTAACAAGACTGATAAAGATGGAAGGTTGGGCACGAGACTGGCAACCCCATGCCTTAATAATAAACACTGGTACTGAAACTTCAAGCCTCTAGTGTGAAGCCCTATTTTCCACTGGGAATGTAAAGGTATAAAAATTATGTACGGACACCTTATTTGACATGCACCTTATGTGATGAGAAAAGAATAAGGCATGAAACTTCTAACTTGCTGCGTCGGTGGCACAGTGGTTAGGACTCTCGTCGAGCATGCACATGGTCCGGGGTTCGATCCCCTGCCGGCGCACACCCGATATCTATGGTATGCCTGAATTTGGGCAACCGATATCCATGCTGAAAATTCCACACTTGTACTGAAAATACGGTGTGGAATCAAGCTGTAAATCAAAAAAAAACACTAAATAAGCCTCCATTTTAATTCTTTCATGCATTAATCTATTGTTGTTAGTTTTCCCACTTCCATTTCAAACATTTACGATCATATTCTTATTGACATGATGATTATTTTTTGAAAACTATGGCGGAATTACTTTTACTTTGTCATGCACCTTCGCCTATATCCTTTAATGACCCTAAACAAATTGCCTAGAAGCACAGTAGAAGCACTTTGGATGCAGCTGCCGTCTTATATCATAACATTGCTTCCAGTCTAGACAAGGGGGCTAAATTTGTTCGTTGTGCCTTCCGAGACTATACATCTGCTTTTGACTCGGTCCCTAGGGACATCTTAAAAAAACTTGCTGCAAGTCAAACAGAATGTTGGACAGCTAACCCGTTACATTCCTCTTTCTCAGAAAGAAAGCAGTACACCATGTATAAAGGGAAGTCTTCCACTTTTTTGCCTACTGAAGCTAGAGTCCCTAAAGGCTCTGTCCTTTCTGCTTTACTTTTTTCTTTCTTGTTACATGACTTGCCTCACTCTGATGAAATAAACTTTGTGAAGTACGCTAATGATTTAACGGTTAAAATGGCTGTTAACACCCAGCTAGATTGTACCAAAAGAACAAGCTTCCTGTTGGGAGTCAGTAAATGGTCTGAGTCTAATGGCCTTAAACTGAATCTTTCTAAATGTCAAACTGTTAATTTCAGCTTAAGATGTAAACGACAGTTAAAAGAAGCCGTCGATTCTCATGACAGTTTTAAGATTGACGACAATGATATAGGAGTCAAATCAGAAATTAAGTATCTTGGACTTATTCTCTCTTCTGATCTCTCCTGATCTTCCCATGTCTCAGCGATCTCCAGTAAAATATTCCGCCTGACATTTTACATTAGGAAGTTAAACCGCTCGGGTATAACTCAACTCCTCCTCTTACAGTTCATAAACTCTTGCATCCTACCTATTCCTCTTTGTTGTTCACCCTTATTATTTCCTGGTTTGTTTAAAAAGGACTATGTCGCAATTCTTAGAATGCTGAAGACTGTCAGTAGGTTGATTGGTGTCCCAGTGGACCACCTAGTTAACGTCGTTGTTGATAGGCACTTGACCTCGTGCAATTAATTTGCTAGAGGGATTTTGTCTGACTTGCAGCATCCACTTTACCCTCAGCTTTCACCTTGCATCTCCTCAGGTAGAACAAGAAGTAACTTCAGGAAATTGTATGATCGTACGTCTAAGTATAAAAATGCTATGATACCACACTTGGCACGTATTTTATGTGATGAAAATAGTGTCAGGCAAGAATTATTATATGTGTAAAACTTGGGCACTGTGGTAGTAAGTAATTCCATATTAGTTTGTTTATTAGGTATATCACACAGTGAAACAGTGTTATTTACTGGATGACGTTTCGAACAAAATTTTTATTGTTCATAATCACATCAGTTGTGATCACACGACTTTGACACTTGAGTTTTATAGTTTTCTTTGTTCTCTCCTATTTGTCGTATGGGTAGTAGAATTTTCCAGATATCTGGGTGGACAGGTGATGAATCATTCCTAATACATGTATTTGTAGTTGATTCGATAAACAAAGCTTCTATTATCAATCTCTCCCTATACCCTGTGACATTAGATTTTAAAACTGTCATCCTATCCCATCCTATTGTATGGTTGTGTGTGACTGCATGTAGTACTATAGCTGAACTATTCTCAAGATTTCTTATCTTATTCGGGTCAACCAATCTAGATTTTGCTAAGTTCTTATGTTCAGCTAGTCTGACTGCTCTGTTCTACTAGTTTGACCTATGTATCTGACCTGAAAATCATTTCACGCAGGGTATTAGATAAACCAAATTGTTTGTTTTAAAGGCTCTACAGGATCTAATTGAATTTTAGATTTTTCCCGTCGATTGATTGGACCGAAGTGCTCGGTCTCAGGTTGACATGTCGGCTTCTTGAGCAGATGCTTCGACGATGTCTGGTCATTTAATTAGTATTTAATTGGAGGATGGTGACTAGCAGTGGAATCACTGAGAAATGCAGGTATATCCAGATGACGAGGCCCAAATAGGACGAAATGCGCATCCTGGATTCCACTGCTAGTCACTATCCACCAATTAAATACTAATTAAATTCCCTACACGATCCTTTAACCGACAAAGCTTGTTTCTAATTGAGTTTGTGGGTTTGAATGCCATTTTTATTCCTGCCTTGTTAAGAATTCGGCGTGAGGCTTACAATGATTGTCAGGTAAAATACATAGGTCAAACTAGTGGAACAGCGGCAGTCAGACTAGCTGAACATAAGAACTTAGCAAAATCTAGATTGGTTGACCCGAATAAGACAAGAAATCTAGAGAATAGTTCAGCTGTAGCACTACATGCAGTCACACACAACCATAAAATAGGATGGGATAGGATGACAGTTCTAAAATCTAATGTCACAGGGTAAATAGAGGGAGAGATTGATAACAGAAGCTTTGTTTATCGAATCAACTACAAATACATGTAATAGGAACTGAGGTTATCAGTTTCTCGCATTTGATTAAAACATTTCTACTCACCTAGAAACAGCTTCATTTGACGTATCAGGTCCGCTGTGGATTTCCTAACCTGATTCATAACGGTGTCTAATGATTGCTTAATTTCCTCATATGGCTGTGTTTGTATGTGAGTATGGAATTTATCTGACAAGAGTTGGCTGTATTTATAAAGCGTTCAATTATGGAATCGTTAACACACCGCCTGTTCACAGGTCTTTGTATTCGCCAACATTATCTGCATTGATCCAAACATAATCGGCTACCACAATAAAAAATTTCTGAAGAACTTGTAGGTGAATCATGCATGATTATAAAAAAGGATATGTGCAAGTGAAAATGTTTTTCAAAATCAAATTAAAACTGAGAATGTAAAACATTTATTAGTCAGTTAGTTATATTAGGAGTAAAGGTCAGCTTTTGCATCGATTTGCGTGCAATGTACTTGTCATTTCGTTAGTTTGAATGACTCAAAAGGTCATTTTGAAGTGGTTAACTTGATCTTTTAATACATTGTCCAATATCAAATATGGTATTCCAATATTGATGGCTGACAGCAGAAGGATGAGCATCATATGCACACAGAATGCAGCCTTGTAGTAATAGCCATCAAGTGTTCTGAACTGTGGTCTACCCAATGCTGCTTGACCACAAATTACAACAATCTAACAGACATTAAAGATGAAAAAAGGCAGAAGTGGAGCAAGTAATTGTCAGGAAATAATTTTGTATGAGATATTTCTCAACAATGAATACTGTAAAATACCTTCGCCTAAATTTGTTTTCAATTTTATACATTGGTCCACCCATCTCTGATCTACACAAATGCAATTAGTGGGCCCAGGTTAACCGATATCTGGAAGGTTGTGAACTGTTTTCATAACCATTTCTCATTTATTTTCAAGTGATGGTTTTCAAGTTTGATCATGATAGAATCACTGAAAATCGACTAGGAAGTATTGTAAAATACACTGCTTCGTCCTTGTTTGGCACTCTTCATCACTACGTACCCATGAAGTTGTCAGGGGTCGAACGCAAGAGCATTAGATTATACGGTGATTTGTTGGTCGTTTAACCACTCGGCGATCGAATCTAATGGCCGGTCTATTGATTAGTATTAAATAAGGTGATGGTTCTAGAGTCAGGTCGACTTCGTATAAGTCAATTTCAAAAGTGACCCAGAGTATCTGTTGCATTTTTAATATATTGATTATCATCCACCAATGAAGCGACTTTATTGAGTGACACGACACGCAAGAATGAATCACCTGAAGCTGATACCTTCTCATTTTATTCACTGATAATCACACACACTCAAAAGTTTATTTATGCATATACATATACTTTAGGTAACATGAATAGATAACTAAAATTGACTATCATCATAAAAGACGACTTACAGGGATTCCTTGTGCAGTCAATCCGATGCTGACAATTGCCAGTGCCAATTTATCCTAGAACAAGATTTGACAAGGCGTTAAGCGATTTCATGCAATAACACCAAGTGCTGTTAAGCACAAAATATACACAAACACATAATGGAGGAAATTTCTAGTTCAGGTGGATGATTTTGATGTAATTGTGTTCTCTGAGATGGATAGATGATTCGTGAAGCCTTCATTACCCTACTAGGCAACATCCTCATCTTAGCGCATACTTCAATTTGAAGTGAGCTCTTAAAATTCTCCACGAGTTTATTAGTCAACCCCGCTGGTAACCATGAACGTAAAATTGGTTGTTTTTGTGTGTTTTCACACCGTCTAGGCTACTTGCCTTTAGTGAAAAGCCTTCAAATAGATGACGAAGAAGTAATGGTCTCCTTCAACGTCACATCATTAAATACATCAGATGGACAGAAACTAGCAAACGAAACTGTGGAGCAGTAACTCAGCAACGAAGAACACCTTCCACAACAATCAAAAAAGGCGATACACAGGTTGGATGGAATGCATAAAACTATACCTGACAACGTACTTCTAATTCAACGGCCAAATATAAGTACCAGTCTAAAGAACACACAGGAGTTCGCTCATATCAGGTTTGGTCGTAGAAGCTGTGATAAAAGATAAGAAAACATAATCCTACCAAAAATCAAACCCAAAATTTGGATACGTTGGGTAGGTAACACATTTGTGACAATCAGAAGAAACAACTTGGTCAAGAATTACCACTTAATAAACAACATCGTAAATGACATCAAATTCACAGGATAAGAGGCATCCGGGGACAAAATTCTACCAACCGAACGTTCACAGAAAATGAAGCTTACAGAAAACCAACTCACGAAGGACAAATACTCAATTATGACACCAACAACGCAGTAGCACACAAAAAGAGGTGAATACGACCATTATTCAAGAGAATCAGGGAGAATTTCAGCACTCATAACCTGAGAAAAAAATATCTCATGGACATCTTCCGAAAGAACGGATATCCACGGAATTTCATCAAAAAGCCAATCTAACATATCAAAGTCTCTCAAGGAAAGCACAGAGAAAATCGCCATACCATATTAACGGACATCTTAGAAATCAATGCAAGACTCTTCAAACCTTTAGGATTTGACGTCACACACAAATCAACAAAATCAATCAATTCGTCTGGCTCAGTGTCAACCAAAAGACTCAACAGCGACAGGTGATGAAACCAACATCGGTTGCAAAAACACTATATTTTTCAAAGTAGACGTCTATTTTGTCTTCGTATCCATGATCATAAGCTAGCCATCAAAAGACATGACATCCACTCAATCGCTCATATCGCTGCATACAGAAAACCACGAAGATCAATTTAACTGGGACAACGTTCGAATATTAGACAGTGGAAATACCAGGAATTCAAGAGAATTTTTCGAAGCCTGGTATTCCAGTGAATCGTCAAACAATAGATACATTGACATCGACAAGATTTCCCAGTCCATGAGAGCGAGATCTCACACACAAAGGTTCAAAGTTCAGGTCAAGGAAGCAATCAATACCAATACACGCAAGCTAGAGGATGAGAAAATACACTGAAACAACCAATCACGTCCAAGGTCAGGTTACCAGGAGAGGTTACCAATAAACTCGTGGAGAAATTGAAGAGCTCAATTCAAATTGAAGCATTCGCTGAGGATGCTGCGTAGTAGGGCTATGCAAGCTTTGCAAATAAACTACCCAGCTCAGAGAACACAATTACAGCGAAATTCACAAATATATTGGGGTTAAAACTGTTTGATGGTGTTGTTAAAGGTGTACTGGTTAGTGACTTAAGGTTAGAATCTAACCATGACCTGCAGCTGACATATGCTCAGGTACAGAGCGGGGTTAATGCATCCCTGACAGTTGATTCGATTTCGCCCTAGACCGGAATTTCCACTTTACCAATCGTCATTACCCAATACGTGTGTATGCTTGCTTAAATCCCTGAGCTGCTTAAATCACCCATCCGTCTTAATGCCTTGTATTTTTCTCCGCTTCATATTGTCTTAATTACCCAAACACCACTGTGAATCACGGTCTGTACATGTGCATATTTTCAAGTCAGCATTTAACTATCCCTATGAATCTTATCGAAGGAAATGAATGAAAGGGATCGTGGAAGGAACAACACTGCTTCAGGTGATACACTATCAGTTTAAATTATGGGGTTCTATAGGGATTTAGGTGAATTTCAGTATAGATATCTTTGCAGATCAACTTCATTTGGATAGATCAATAAAAAGCTGGGGATACTGGACAGCTGTCTCGTCTTAGTCCGGGATTATTCAACAGTCGACATCTACGGCCCCATCAGGTATGGAACGCAGGAAATTCAGGCTGTGAGACCAAGCTTGGTGACCATACAGAAATTTGGGCCTGAATCCAGTGATCCGTGATTTCTGACTGTCTGAACTCGTGATGCAATGTAACCCCCAACTGAAGCCTTTGAATCACACTGAATTCACGTTGACATCACGGAACCCACTGGTCAGGACTTCTCAGTTCAGCTTCAGAAGATCCATCCACTAGGCATCAATGGGCTGGAGACTAATATTGAAATTATGGGCACAGTTAAGCTTCATAGGTCAGTAAATTCCGACTCAAGTGTCCGTATATACAGCGAGCTTCGTATCATAATTTTATAGTCCCCGTTTCAATCCCTGGCGTCGACTTGATTCCCCGCTGCAAGAGAGTCGGAGACTAAGACAGAATAGATGCCCAGTGTCCCCTGGTTTTCAATGGTCACTGAATGACTTAATTCTTGACGAAATCAACGCTGAAATATTGGCAAATATCAGGTTACGTGAATATTCTGCATTAGGTTAAATCATCTTACAATGAAACAAGCTGGAAATTCTGTGTTGTGTTCTATTTCGGCACTCCTCAGTGGTACTCACCCGCTGAGATTCGGACACAGAACCTTATGACCAGATGGCGGGCTTGTAGACCATTCAGCAATTGGGACGCAATCCTGGTGTCAACTAGTGACCAAACCTGTAGGCAATCAAATCTCCGCAAACCAACACTTAGTGTTTACATATATGTCTCTGAAACTGGTTTGATATTCAAGTATTGGTTTGTTGGGGTTCGACTGATTGGTTACAAGATTTCCTCATGAGCTGACACTGGTTAGAGAAGTAGGATGAAACAACTGTGCAGTACTACCAGGTAGGTTCTCTAACCGATACCAGATGACGATGAAATCCTGTAACCAATTTGGCTTGAGTTGTCACTCATTCCCTTATCTCTTTGAAAAAATTACATCAAAAATTAAATCTAACTTGGTAAATAATAAATTATGAGCTGAACCATTGGAAAACCAGGGAGTACTGGATAGCTGTTTCGTGCTAGTTTGGAACGCTTGAGTGGTTCGCACCTACCAGGATGCTAACTCAATGACCTTCTGATTACTGATGGAAAAAGTGTAATTATTGCATTTTATCTTAAATTTATTACAAACATAAAATATTTCACATTTTCATTGTTCACTTACAAGTCCTGTCCCATAGTGGACACCAATTGAAACAGCAAAAGTTAAAACCAAGACAGTAAAATGGAATATGAGAAATGCAGTGTAACCACGGTACAGATCAATTGGTAGTGTTGCACCTATTGTGATTAGTAAGATGTACAACACCACAGCTGATCCCGTCACTATAAGTCCCCATATAAGCGTTTTCCCAATGAACGGTATTCCTGTGAGTACAGATGCTAATATCGTCTATAAAACAGAAAATCATAATGTTTGAGTAGTATGGAATATTATTTTGATCAAAAAAATATACTATCTGTCGCCTTATCATTTATTATCATTCTTGAAGTTCCCCAGGAGGACATCTGGCTTCAAACGTTTTGAACGTGTCAGTAGGCATACCGCTGTTTTTATGAGGTAAGGTTTTTTGACATGGTTGTGTTCTCTGAGCTGGATAGTTAATTTGCAAAGCTTTCATCACCCTACTAGGTGACATCCTCGCCTCAGTGCATACTTCAATTTGAAGTGAGCTTTTAGACTTCTCCACGAGTTTATTAATCATCTCTCCTGGTGACCTGACCTTAAACGTGATTTGTTGGTTTTGTGTATTTTCACATCCTCTGGGCTGCTTGTATTGAAACTGATTGTTTCCTTGACTTGAATTTCTACTCTTTGTGTGTGTGAGGTTTCCTTCTTATCGATTGGTAAATTTTGTCTATTTCGATGTGTCTATTCATTGACGATTCACTGGTATACCAGGCAGGCTTCTAAAAATTCTCTGCCATTCTTGGTGTTTCCTCTGTCTAATATTTGAACGTTGTCCCAGGTGAATTGATGTTTGTGGTTGTCTGTATGTACTGATATGAGGGAGTGGATGTCATGTCACGGCATTTAACAACCGATAAGAAGGGTCAAAGTTTAAGTCAGAAAAACAGTCAGTTCCAAAACAGTTAGCCTAGAGAGTGTGGAAACACACAAAACAACCAATCACATCCAAGGTCAGGTCACCAGGAGAGTTGACTTATATTCACTCGTGGAGAAATCTAAAGCTCACTTCAACGGATTGAAGTATCCGCTGAAGATTTCGCCTAGTAGGGTGATGAAAGGTTTGCAAATAAACTATCCAGCTCAGAGAACACAACCACATCAAAATCATGCAACTGAGCTACAAATCTTCTCCATCATATCTATAGGGTAAGGTTGCTAGACTCACCCTCAGCCTTCCCCCTGTCTCAGAGTTACTATCTCCTGGCAAGCTGAGTGATGCTCCTAAAGGGCACCGGACAGGAATCAAATCCGGATCTTCCGTGTGACTGCCGATCATTTCATCACCGAACCATTGACACAATCTCCATATCATGGCGCGATACCTTGAATGAAGTGTTGGTCGGGAGCGATTCTATGCGAGCACTTATGACTTATAACCAGCCTTCATCATGATTGTTGTCCTAATACGGTGTCACATTCTGTTTTAGTGAATAATGCCTCAGATGTCATCCAGAATTGTTAGTCACATTAAAACGGAATATTTTGATATGACTAAGGTATTTCAGTGATGTGAAACATTCCTTGGAATATAACATAGTTCTACACTCGATATATATCTAAAAAGCCGGCTGATATCTCAAAATTAATTTCATGCAAGTGTATTGCCAGTTTCGATTGTATGATTGTCAGCTATACACTGATACTGTGGATTTTTAACTTTAAAAATGATTGCGAATTGGAATGACTAATCCTTCACAATCTAGAACTTGATTGTTGTAAATTTCTAACATCAACTTATTTATGAATTATCGAAATCTTATTGGTTTACTTTCCCGCTGACTGACTGAAACTAAATGCTTGACTTCAGGTTGAGGTGTTGGCTCCTTGTGTGTAGATGTTTTGGCGATATCTGAGGATCAATTTCAAGCAATTTGGTGAAGAGTGACTAGTAGTGGAATCCAGGAGTTGCACCTCATCCACTTTGGGACTCGTCAGTTAGACGCGTCTGTATTCCGCAGTGAGTGATGGTGACGCTACTGAGGCTCAATCCCAGTAATCGTAAGTTCAAACGCCAGAGCGCTACCCATTAAACCACTTAGGCCATGAGAGCTACCTACTGTGCAACGGGTGTCAGCAGTTATTCAATTTAATTTGGGAAAACTATGACTGTGTAGGGAATGCAAATACATCCAGTTGATGAGTCGTAACTAGGACGAAATGCTGGTCATGGATTCCTCTACTAGTCACTATCCATGAAGTATTTCTCAGAACTATCTACTTTACTGCGAACAAGCTAAAAAATATATTTCCCAAAGTTCCCTTCAATTGGTATTATTATGACTAATCGAATAGTTGGAGATATTAAATGCTTCAGATATTACTAATCTAACAAAAGTAATATATATATATAAATGTTTGCAAGAATAATAAATTTATACATTCATACATGTAACATCAGAAAGAAAAAATCTAATGGAAATTTTGTTCCCGTCGTATCTAATGTGAAGAAGAGAATCAACACTATCGCCTCAACAGGCCCACTGAAATGAAGAGAAATCAGGGAATGTCTATATCGGATATATGATTGATAAAAAAGAACATGAAATTAAGAATAAACATTCATGAATTAAATGATTTTGTATGAATAATGTTGGGGTGATCCTGTTAACTTATTATCAGAGTTGCTTTGGATTCCACTGTGTTATGTATGATCTATATCGCCAGTTGAAATGAACTTGTCGCCAATTGATATGATAGCGTCGACACCTGGTTTGACCAAGTGGACTTATGCGTGTGAGTATTATAATACCGACACAATGAACAACTCAGCTGACCTGCTGGATGCACCTATTCGTCCGTGGCACCTTGCACTTCATTGGCCTCTGTGACTGTTAGTATGCAATTGTATTAGGGAAGCGTCCGTCATATTTATATATTTTTTATAAACACATTAAAATCCGCCAAGGGCAGCGGAAATGGATTGTTTTGATTCGTAGGCGATTCAGCTAACGTTGGCGACAAATTATTACTCTGATTGACTGGTGATTTGACCAAGACTAAGGTAAGAAAGGGATGATGACATTCGACAGTCATCCACGACCACATGATGAATCCTATGATGATTTCTGTTTTAAGACGATTCCTATGACCCTGTCTGATGTTATACATCCTTCGATTCGCTAACTATTACACAGAAGAAAACCTCATGCAATCGTCCACATGCCAACAGATTATGGAAACGCCAAGGGCTATGTAGTTGTCTTGCAGCCAATGAAGTGCTTGACTTAGGAGACTGCTTCGATTGACCGCTTTTGAGAAGTTTTCAATGAATCACCCAACTTGCGTATGTAATTATTATACTCTTATTCGAAACGAAAACTGCAAATCTATGCGTCTCAGTGTTTTAATATTTCACATGATTTATCGCGATTTATTATCTGAAAATGCGTTGTATTTTGTGGCAATATGGACTGCAAAATGCATCATCGTTAATTTGTAGAGCATACCACTTTCATTTCATTCCATGAGTTCTTTGGAAACATCTGAAGAACTTTGGCCAACTCATGCGTTTCCCTGTATTCCGACTGGAGATTTATTACTGTGAATATTCATTAAGTAGTTACAAGAGCCATGCGTCTTGTCTATCTTTTGATGCAAAGTGAATTCTACCAGATAAGTTTGTAATGTGGTCATCACTATCGTGATTCACTCTGAAATGTTGATAGATAGTTGGAAACAGTCGGCAGGAAGCCACGGACCTCGCTTTCATGTTTGTTGGCACTCATCAAATGGACATTTCCGAAATCTTAGATTAGCTCACTTTCTCTCGAAGATTCGAACCCGTGTCACTGAGTGCTGCAGTTAGTGACGTTGCCAGTGAACCTTACTGATGAGTCCTGATAAGTACGAAATCTAGATCCAGTGTTTCCTGCCTATTTCCACCAGTCATCTGACTTCAATTCAAGGATGTATTAGGCTAAGTGAAGTTTAACAATCATGTTCAGTCGAAAACAAGACAAATTTGTGCTAAAACTTTTGAAAGATCTAACTTGAGTTTCAGAGAGTGTGATGCTCTTTTCATTAGCCGTTTCTTTCATCGAAGTTAGACAGCTCTCAGATATGCATATCGTTCTCTGTCTTGTAAACGACTGAACACTTCACTTTCATCTATTTCCGCCTAACGTGATATCATGTTTAAAGTATAGTTTACAAATGATACTTAAACACAAACATCACTAAGCTTGAGACGTCAGTATCCCAAATCAAGTGAATCTATGATCTGACAGAAACATTAAAATCACTCTATAAAATAAAACATTAAAAGGAAAACATTCTGAAATGGTAAATGCATTGGATGGCAAATTCTCAGTACACAGTGATGGATAGGAGGTAAATCGGCAGCGAAGTTGATTCATTTTCTGGTCTGAAAAGTAAGCAGTTAGTTATTCTGGTCGACCTACATTTGTGTCATTGCAAGTGGTATGGGTGTTGTGATGATGGACATCAGAATAACGAATAATAGTACCTGTAATTAGTGGGCAACTTCATCAAGGAGTTACGTAGGCTTACTCTTTTCGTGTACTTATCCATAATTTTTTGAATTGTAACGTATATATTCAATGCTCTTCTAATACTCTTCTTATCTCCACTGACAATTCTATCAAATTCTGGAATGATGAATAAATTGATGTTCATTTTTGGAATAAAAGTGTATACTACTGATTGATTGTAGTGAGTAATCGCTTAACACTCATATCAACTAGCAGTGCTTGCTAGTTAGGTTGAGGTGATCAAACCACCGAAAAGCCGTTCTCCTCATTTGGGACCATGCTCATCAGCGGTGTATCCAGTTTGACTCATCTCATACAGCCGAATCAATTCAAACCACTGGATCTCCGAATAGCTACTTAGGCGAACTGGTGTTATCACAAGTCAAATTCACACTTTGGCATGACCAGTTCGCTGAAGTAGCTAGCCGGAGATCCGGTGGTTTGAAATGATTTGGCTCTGTAAGATGAGTCAAACTGGGTATACCTCTGATGAGCTCAGCCTGAAAATGAGCGATACAGCTGTTCTGTATTTTAGGATCACTTCGAAGTGGCTACAAAGCAATATTTACTCATGCGAGAGATCAACAACTACTAATCTCAGCAGATATGCTTGTTATCTTGATGATCATCTATGGGGTCAAACAGATCACGTACTGTGGTGATCTGACTAACTTGATTTCCAAAGGAAACTACAGTGAAATTTCACCTCTTGAACTGTGTAGATAGCAAATTGCAAACCAATCTGACATTTGTGAATTTGACTTCTCATGAAATTGAATGTAAGCCTCAATAAAAGTACTTGTAATCATGAGAATTTAAAATTATGGGGAAGAAAATATCTCCATTCTCCAATATCTTTGATTGGACACTAGTTAGTAACTAGTGTGATGTGTCTAGTCCTTTCTTTGGTGCAGACTGATTTCTATCAGTCAGTCAGGTGTGCAATGTGGCCACCATTCTAGGTAGCTCGCCAACATGGTGCACACTGATTTGATGATATTAGATGGTTAGAATTCAGTCTGCACCATAGAGAGGACTAGACACTTCATACTAGTTACTACTCTCCATTCAAATTATCCCCTACAGTCCTACAGGAGGTCAATTGCCAGCCAGGCCGAATAACTCAGTGGTAACGTCTCTGACTGCAGCTCCCACTGGGTGAAGCAGTTTCGAATCTCAGAAGGGACGTGAGTTCCTTCAAGGCTCCAAGGCTTCCTTCCGATTCCCTCCAACCATCTCATTCTCCAAAATTATCAGTAAATAAACTAAACAACATTGAAGAAGAAGTTTTGGTCATTTCAGTGGAATACAGTTCCATATAAGGCAAGTACACCTGATATAACCACAGAGTGATACAGTAATGTTAACTGTATGATGCATTCATTCCGCTTAAATCTCAGCATACCTCTAAGTTCTTCAAGGACATAAATTCAATAGTAGGTGAATTTCAGTTTACTTTTAACTCAGAAAATCAACAGAGTGAGTTGTCTATCCCAAACTGGCTAGTTAGATACCAGCATCTATAAGAAACAACCTCGCCTACATTACTAGGTCACTAGTATTCTAGCCGGTCCCAAGCCCGGATAAAGAGGGAGGGTTGGGGCGTGGTGCTAGCAACTCCACCCCCAAAATTTAACCAAATGGCTACTAAAACTTCGACGCACAAATATATTAAAAATTCTAAAAATACAAACAATGACCTTATTTTTCGCTGGAATCGGGGAAGTGAAATGACGCAGGCTGGTGAAAGCCTTCGGGAAGCCAGTCAGCCGATGTGCCTTCTTTCCATGAAAGCGAAAATAAGGATGGGGACGTGGAATGTTCGTACAATGTACGAAGCTGGGAAGGCTGCTCAGGTAGCCGCAGAAATGAGGAGATATAAAATAGAAGTGTTGGGAATCTGCGAGAGCAGATGGAATGGATGCGGAAGGTGCCAACTACCAACTGGAGAGACAATAATCTACTCCGGTCACCCAGAGGACGATCACGAGCACACCGAGGGAGTAGCCATCATGATGTCACCAACAGCGGCTAAAGCTCTCATGCAGTGGGAACCAATCTCCTCCAGGATAATGACAGCCAGGTTCAACTCAAAAGGAAACAAGGTTACAATCATTCAATGCTATGCGTCTACAAACGTCTCAGAACAAGAGAAGAAGGAGGATTTCTACAGTCAACTACAAACAGTAATGGACAACGTCCCAAAGAGCGATATCAAAATCCTGATGGGCGACATGAATGCGAAACTGGGAGGAGACAATACAGGAAGAGAACTCACCATGGGTCGTGAGGCCCTCGGTGAAATGAACGAAAATGGTGAACTCTTCTCAGACTTCTGCGCCTTCAATGATTTGGTGATTGGTGGCAGTGTGTTCAAACACAGGGATATACACAAGGCAACATGGATTTCACCAGATGGACACACCGAAACCAGATAGACTTCATTTCAATCTCAAGGAAGTGGAGACGGAGCCTACTGGACACAAGATCGAGGAGAGGAGCAGATGTGGGTTCAGACCACTATCTAGTACAAGGGACATTCAAGGTGAAGCTGAAAGCCTCGAGGATACCTGGGAATAGGCCACAGTGTAAGTTCAACACGCAAAAACTGAAGGACACAACCACAAAGGACATTTTCACTGCAACTGTCAGAGCAAAGCAGGAAACACTACGTGGCACCACTGAGGAATCATCCGTGGAAGACCATTGGAACTCTCTGAAGGTAATTTTCAACGAAACGTGTTCAACGGTTTTAGGAAGAAAGAAGAAACAAGACAAGGAATGGCTCTCAACGGACACTTGGAAGCTAATAGAGGAGAGGAGAATGGTGAAAGAGAAAATGATTCAATGCAGAGATGGACAAGAGAAAGAGACGCTGAACTCAACTTACACAGCACTGGACAAAGAAGTGAAGAAGAGTGCCAGGAAGGACAAAAGACAATTCTACGACAACCTGGCTACTGAAGCTGAGAAGGCAGCAGGCAAAAGGGACCTGAGGACACTATATCAGATGACCAAGTCTCTATCCGGGAAGAGATCAACACAAGTGAAACCTATAAAAGACAGCCAAGGGAACCCAATTATCAAAGAAGAAAGACAGATTAAACAATGGGCGGACCACTTCAAAGGACTCTTGAACCGACCACCACCTACAACCCGTCCAGAAATACCAACAACAGCACGTACACAACTGCAAGTTGACACCGATCCTCCAACGAAAGCTGAAGTCTTGAATGCAATCAAGCTTCTGAAAGCTGGAAAAGCAGCTGGACCAGATGGAATACCCCCGGAAGCACTGAAAGCGGACCCAGAAACGACAGCAGAAATGCTGATTCCATTATTGCAAAAGATCTGGAAAGAGGGAAAGGTGCCTACTGACTGGAGGAAAGGTTACCTCGTGAAACTACCAAAGAAGGGCGACCTAGGACTCTGCAAGAACTGGCGAGGAATCATGCTCCTGTCGACGCCAAGTAAAATCCTGAGTCGCATCATCCTGGAGAGAATCAAGGACGCACTGGATACAGAACTCCAACCAGAACAAGCTGGATTCAGGAAAGGCAAATCATGTTCTGACCAAATTGCAACTCTACGCATCATCATCATCGAACAAAGCATGGAATGGCAATCAAATATCTACCTCAACTTTATAGACTTTGAGAAGGCCTTCGACAGCGTTGACCGCGAAGTAATTTGGAAACTACTCGAGTACTACGGCGTACCCCAAATATTCATCAACCTTATTCAACAGCTGTACGACAACGGCACATGTCAAGTGATCCACAACGGAAAACACAGCGCTGCGTTTGGAGTAAACACAGGAGTCAGACAAGGGTGCTTATTATCACCAATGATATTCCTAATTGTGGTGGACTGGATTATGCGTCAGACAGCGGGAAACGAGAAGACAGGGATATCCTGGACCGATGTGAAGAACCTGGAAGACCTGAATTTCGCGCGTGGATGATTTATGTTTGATGTCACACAAAATCGAAGACTTACAAGCAAAAACCGACAAACTGGTCGAAGAAGCAGCCAGAGAAGACAGGACTCCAGGTGAACATAGACAAGACGGAGGTTATGAAAATAACCAACCAACAACAGCAGCAACACCCAGCGCCAATCACCATCAACGGGAGGGATTTGAAAGAGGTTACTTCATTCACTTACCTAGGGAGCATTGTCTCAACTACAGGAGGAACGGACGAGGATGTCAAATCGAGAATCGGGAAGGCGAGAAACACATTTATCAACCTGAAACCAATCTGGAAATCTTCGTCTCTCAGCCTGCATCAACAACAAAATTCGGATTTTCAACACAAACGTCAAGTCAGTCAGTTCTTCTATACGGATCAGAAACTTGGTGGGTCACAAAGAATGTTTCCAACAGCCTGTTGCAGACCTTTATCAACAACTGTCTTCGTTGTATACTGAAGATCAGATGGCCGGAAAGAATCACCAACAAGAAGCTGTGGGAAGAAACAAAACAGGAACCAATCGCCTAACAAAAATGCAGGAGAAAGTGGAGATGGATTGGACACTCGCTGAGGAGGCCGTTGGGTGACATCGCGCGTCAGGCCACGCTCGAGTGGAACCCGAAAGGGAAGCAGCGAGTGGGACATCCAAGGGTGACATGGAGGAGATCGTGTGATGAGGAACTGAAACAGTATGGATTAACATGGATGCAAGTGAAAAGTACAGCACAAAACAGAAGCAAGTGGAGGCGTGCAGTTGAAGCCCTATGTTCCACTAGAAACCCAAGGGAACAATAATAATAATAATCTATAAGAAACTGTCAACTTCTCATAGATGCGAAGACTTTGAATCAGGGCAGTGAAAATTGATAAAGGCAGGTTTATTTAAGTTTTATGCAGTCATACCAGAAGCCTAAACTACAAATCAGGGAATTTAAATGAATAAGTAACTTCGCACTGAATTTTACTCAAAAGAAAAATAAAATTAGAAATGCAAGTAGTCAAAATATAAATAATGGGGGATACATCTGCGTTATTTAAAAAAAATGTTTATTCCTTTATGTTCCCAGTGGAACATGGGGCTTCAAGCTAGAGGCTTGAAGTTTCTGTAGCAGTTGTGGTTATTTTTACAGGATGGGGTTCCTAGCCACATGCCCAACCTTCTCTCTCCGGT